ATCCTTATTTGCTACGAACATGCGCTACTGTACTAAAAAATACTGTTTATTCCCTTGGCGAAATTAACTCTCTGGCAGCTACTGGATCCACACACTGGGATCAAACATTGTAGCGATGAGTGGAGGTGAAAGTGTCGGCAGGGAAACCAGTGAATCTGGAGGGTGAAGGTTGTGTGGGGCTTCAAGAGAAGCAGAGGGAAAACTCTGAGCCTGTCTGACTCACCCAGCAGTCCACAAGCTATGGTAAATGGTGCTAGTATTTGAAGCGTTTGAATTAGTAATCGCAAAAAGGAAACATCTTTCCCTTCCCTGTTCAGGTCCGCAGTTTACCTAACAGTCCACCACATCTTGCCAGCTGTAGCTATATTGGGCCACCAGGTGTAACTAGAGGAGAGAAGTATTTATTTATTCCGTACCTGGTACTATTTTCCCCCCAAATAAGATGGGGTCATATATTAATTTTTACTCCAAAAGATGAAGTAGGGCCTATTTTCAAGGAATGTCTTTTTTTCCCCATGTATAACAATTTGATTTTTATTCATGTACAAAAATCTACAGCTAATGAAATAGTCATGCCATCTTCTTCTGGAATATCGTCATAATTCTCCATATCCCGAATTCCAGCCTTAATGTTTTGTGACTCCATTCCTTAGACCCATTGGCCCCGATTTTGCTGTCCAGCAGTAGAGCTCCCTTATATGAGTGCTTCTTGTCTGTGTAGCCTGCTCGTATGCATTGGCAACACAGCCATCAGTGATTTTATCCCTAAATTCTTCACCCAGATCACAACCTCTTCCATGCCGGGCTTCAAGTTTCCGGTAAATCAAGTGTTAATTGAAGATTCAGGAGACAGGAGTGGCACCGAAAATGATGACAGTTAATGATGGTTTACATAAAAGTGATGACAAATTGCAGGCACCAAAATTCAAAAAACGTTTATTTCACACCAGTGCATTAAGTACACTTGTTACAACCCTCAGCGGATTGAATTATGAAGATTAGACACAACCGCGTCCGTTTGTTACCAAGTGCGCACATTATTCGTGCATTTTGTCTGTACTCCGATTCATCACTCAGCAGTCAGTCTCGAATTTGTTTACATACATAGGCTTTTACCTTCCTGTCCAAAAGCACCTGAATGGGTATTTACAAATACTTAATTATAATTTACGTTATCATTTAAGTATTAATGTCAGTGATATTAACAGTATACCCTCCATAATTTCCGTTCAGAGTTCATGGCCTCAGTCGTTCTCGGATTTTTCTTTATAACCTAACTAATAATTATTAGCAGAAACCCCTGCAATTCGAGGAAACCGCAAATATCTGCCGCATTGTTTTTTGGGGGTGGGAAATTTGCAAGAAGCCAATCCGAGAGCAGTATTCAGGTCTCCTTGCTACTGATTGGCTGTTGCCCTGTGGCGCATGCACCAGCATTCCTGCATCATAACACGTTGCTCTACTGTAGCTATCTCAAGGGTTCTCAGTTTTGTTCTTCTTAAAGCCCCGAGAGCCCTAAGACGCCACCAAAATGCTCTGCACCTTCCAAGACTTCTAACAATGATCCTAAGTGCAGAAGTTTAAGACCCTCCAGGAGAGGGTTGAACTACTTACTATACAGTATTTTCATTTAAGTAAATTATTACAGTACTGTATCCAGTGTTTTATTAAGTTACATAACTGCAGGAGACATAGCGTATTTAGGATTTAAACTATAAAAATAGGCAGTTGTAGTCATTTCTGATTGTATCTGACATTCGAGGTTTTTCAGCTTGCAGATGCTCTAGGATCCCAAGAATTTCAGGGGTCCACTATATTTTTTGTATTTAATTATGTATTAATAAATATTGTTTTATAATTCAACGCATCTGTCGTGTGTTGCAACAGACATACTTAATGAGTCCATTTGGCTGATGACCTTAACTGGGACTTATTTTGGGAGTGGACTTATACACAACCTGAAACATCATGGGAGGGCTTATTTTTCCAGTTAGGTCTTACTTCTGGGGAAATGTGGTAGGTGCCAGGCAGAGGGTACACGTGTTGCATCAAAATCAGTTTGGTTCTAGCTCTCCCAGAGTTCACAGGCTCTTGGGAGAAAAAGATACATTCAGAGACTCTGACACTCCTCCTTCTGTAATGCAGAAGGGTATATGGGACAATGATAAATCTATCAAGGTTTCCCTCTCTCTCTCTCTCTCTCTTGCATGGCCTTATTTTCTAGCTGTGCTCTGGTTGCTGCCCTGCAGATCTAAGCCTGGTCTGGACTTCTCTGTGGACAGTTAAACCTGAAGGTAGGATAAGGCAGCCTTTGTGATCTGTATTGTCTGGCTTAGGATTCTGCTTGCTGTCCTTCCTAGCTTTTCTTTGCTTGTGTGTCAACTCTGGTCTCATTAAACAGAAGGAGATGGTGAAACTCATACAGAGAGTTGAGATCTTTTTAAGGCAAATCTACTTCTTGATTAAACATTGATACTAATCTCATAGCTACTTAACCCTGATTTAAAAACCTGTTTTCTGGTGCTGTGTCACTAGTGAACATAAGTACTAGAGATTATCTCTTGTTCCATTATAGTGTGGCAATAAAAAAAAAAAACGTGTTTAGCAAGTTTGCTAAGTCTAATTTAGAAGGGTGATCCTTCCTTTTGGGTGGGCCTTGAAGGCAAGATTAACAGCCTTTAAAACAGAATAGCTAGAATTACTGATACCATTGTCTGCTGAAGGTTGCTATAGCAATGAGTGGTTTGATTGCACTGTGCAATTGGTGGTACCTAGGTTAGTGCAAAAGGATCCTGTTAATTGAGCAGAAACTTTCTTGAATCAATTTAATTAAACTCGAGTAGAATGAGTGCTAAATTCTTTGAAAGCTCTGAGATGTAGCTCTATTTAGTCTTAAGATTAATTAAAGATATCTTGTCCTGAATGTGCACATTCTCAAAAAATTAAAAAAAAATAATTTTAGGATAAAGGCTTTTTAATTTTGAAGGTTATTTTTAAAATGAAGTGTCATTTTAATGAAAACTGACATGTTTTAATGTAACATGTATTGTTTTAAAAATAAAAAATAAAAATCATAGTAGACTGTAAAGAAAAGATATAGGCACGGCAGCGTGCAAAGATCAGCTCACCAGCTTATGGTAGTCAGGAGGAAGCGGGACTGATTAAGAGGTGTGACTGCGTTCTTTGATAATGCAAACTGGACTACAGATGGTATCGTTTCTTTTATTAATGATCCAGAAAAAAACATGTGCTGTTCTTCTTACCAAATGCCACACATGTACAGAATTTTTTGGAGATGCAGTATAAAAATCATTTAAGAGCTTACGGTCTGAGATGGCTTTAAAGGAATATCCTACAATGGGCAAAGAAAAAAAATTGTATGCCTCTCTTTATGGCTAATGTAGATATATGTCTGTTGAAACTTTGGTTCTGATTGTCCTTACTTTCCCTTTAACATGTTGGATCTATTATCTTCTCTACTTTCCTTTTTTATGGCCTAAGTATATGAGTTTCAAAACTGTTGTGCACCTACCATGTGGCAAATGCCACGGTATGTTTCACATCACTCTTCTGCATCTGTGTGGTGCAATGAAAAGTTTTATTTTAACCTTGTGTTTTGGACTTCTGCACCCAAGAGCAGGCTTTAGGGCCCATTTTGACATTCTTGTCTTTGGCAGTGGTAGTTAATGCAAATGTTACTCTGCTGCCACCAGGAGGCCATGAGTGGGATGTGCCTTTAAAGATGCCAGGGACACAAAGTGCCCAGGCTTCCAGTCAGCTCCTGCATCGTCTGCAGTTTCTGCTGAAAACGCTTGTTATGACCACTTAAATTGAGATTTTCAGTTTTAATCATGAAAGCTAGTGTGTACTGCTGACTTCAGAGAAATATACTATTTTGGAATTCCAATGTATTACTTGCTTAAAAAAATTCAAAGTTAGTGTTAAGCAAATCGTTTTAAAACGCAAGAGAACTGGGACAGTGTCTTTTCTGCACCATCCTCACATTATTATTTACTACTCCCTATTTGTAATTTGTCATCCTCATTACAACTTATCTTAAGCAGAGTAGGGAAATCTAATTAATGTACTTGCTAGGAAAACTCCAGTGTTTCTTCAGGATCTGCCTCTAATAGGACCTTAGGCCCAGGAAGATGAGATTCCAGAAAAGACCCTGGGGCCCAACAGTATCTCACAGATATTCATACATATTCAGCTTAAAGACTTTCAGCCATTTGCCCTTTCTAAGAATATCAGCACTTAATTTCCCCAGGCCCAAACCTTCTCCCAAAGGTTATTTTAACAGCAAAGGCTCTTGTTTCCCGGAAACTGTGTATTTTGGGGAGAGAACCAATCAGTCAAATCACAGAGAAGAAGACCATTTCACGTAGCCTCTCCTGTTCATCTTGGAACACCGTGATTGCCAGATCCAGGAAAATATTTGCTGAGAGAGGACAGCTGGGCTGTCTGGGGCTGGTCACTGTGAAGCTGGCCCCACTGGCAGAGGTCAGGCTTGGGGTTGCACAGTGTGCCCCAGTTTCAGTGTGGAGAGAGGAAGGGTGAACCTCCTCTAGAATTAGCTGTGCTCTTTTGAGACATTAAAACATGTGAGACTTGGGGAAACTTGGGATTTCCTCAGGTGGGTGCGCATCGCATTATGAAAATCTCTGCAGTTCAGAAGAGCCTTCGGTAGTGAGCACCTTCCTTTTGGAATGTGGGGCGTTTATCTACCAATGCTTCTTTTCTCCCTAGGATTTCCCTTGTGAGCTCCAGTGTTTATTTACATTTTGGTCCACACCAATAATACCAGAGGGTGACAGGCAGGTGATCCAGTGTTCTTCTCTGGGAAGGGTTTAGAAATCTAGCTAGCTCTGTGCGGATGGCTCCGTGGCAATTCATCAGTGCTTGTCATCTGCTTTCTTTACTTCCTTCTTCCCTTCCTTCTCTTCTTCTTCCAAAAAGCTCTAATCAGCATAACCTGATGAGAATTATTCCTTTTGCAGAGATTAAGAACTTGGTGTTGAGCGGATCACCACCCGAAAAGGGGAATGGAAAGGTAAAGATCTCCTACCTGACTCTTCTTTTCGTATCTATCTGGAGTTAAAGTAGAAATGAAGATCTTGTAGTCATACACCTTAGGAAGGAGACTCCTAAGCGTGCCGCAGGTCACTTTCAGAATAATTGGAAATGCAGTTTCTTTTATCAAATTCTCAATCACTTCATGATCAAACCTAATCTTCTTTCTGAGCTGTAAATGCAAGCTGATTAAATGAGTGTTCCAAAACAAATTTGTACTTGTAGTTTGATATCTATGGGTGTTTGCCAATGATGTGTTTTGTCCATGGACAGCTTTCAGGCTTGTTTCTGCGTGGACCAGATCCTTTCCTTAATTTTAACTCTTAAGTAATGCTGAGAAACTCTTAAAGAATACTGAGAAACAAGACTAGTTTTCTGTTTATGTGATGTGATACAGGTAACGTGTTGACTAAGATTTTCCTAAATTGTTTTTCTAGTCTACAAAAATAAAGAAATAAACGTTAGTATATCATATATGTAATTAAAAATACCTTGACTTTATCTTTTTCAGTGTGTCAAAAGCCTGGTGGTTCAACTGAATGAACATGAGGGCCAGGCCAGCCTAGGTGTAGGTATGTTATGAAATACTGCTTTCTATGCACTCTCTATAAAATATTTTGTCCCAAAAACCTTTCCTACTTCTTGAAACTCACCCAGATATATTTTCTTTGGGGTATCAGTCATAATATTGTGTCTCTGGGGCTTAAGCTGCCTTTTAATCTAAAACAAGAAAAAAGGCAGTCAAAGCTCTTCCTGAGCAGTTTTACTTTGCCAGATGTTGGGCTCAGACTTGGAGTAGTGTCGTAGTTACTTTGTTATTCTTGTGAAGTAGGCACTACTGCTTCATTTCAGGGAAGCAGTGAGCCATTGCTGGAGAGCAGACAGAGGAACTGAGCCCCAGAACTTCATGCTGCCTGGCTCCAGGGCCCCCAAGTTTACTCCTTTTCCATACCAACAGCACATTGCTCCCATGGAGCATGCATGATCTACCCCCAGGCTTCGGGAAGGACTAGATGTTGGTCCTGCAGTGTGGGTCTGGTATGGGTGTCCCTTTGGAGGGGTGTGTGTGTGTGTGTGTGTGTGTGTGTGTGTGAATTCGTATCTGTTCACAAGTTTTCTATCTTCTCACTCCCTGGGGGCTCCTAGCTAAGCCTCCTTCTATGTATTTTCTATTTCTCCAAGGCTACCTGGGGCCCCAGTCCTATCCCTTGAGTTATTTAGAGGTGAATAGAATGTAATGAAGGTGTGGGGGACTGAGGACATGAGGGGCTTAGTTTGGGCCCCCGGATGGTGAAAAACCTCTGGGGCCGCTGAGTGGGCTGCAAAATATGCATGAATCATCTCTTAGGTTCTGTGAAACTGGGGCAGCTGCTGTATCTGGAGAGCTCATGTGGGCAGGGCAGTCTGGCACTGTGGGCACAAGGAGTGGTGGGGGTGGCTGGGTGCTCAGGCTGACACGACATCAGGAAAGCTGAGACAGTGCCCTGGGTGACCTGTCAATACATCCCAACAGACTTGTGCATCGCTTCCCCGGGGGCAGTGGCGGTGTGGTTGGCATGTAGGGCAGACACATGACAGAGCAATCACAGCAGTTCAGAAGTCAGCAGTGTGGAGCCAGCTACGAGGAAGTACTCGTAGTAGCGGTTGACTGCATTCCTCTCTTGTGGCCACAGGTCAGAAGTAGCTTGCTGACTCTCCCTGCCTGAGGGCTCCTCAAATCAAAGCAGAAACTTAGCCTTGCACTTACGTGTCTAAGATGTGAACTTCTTTATCTAGGTTACATTTAGGTTGTGTTCAAGGGTAAGGGACCCTCTGTAGATGCTGTGACCACAGCAATACCCATGCCTGTAGATGTTTCTGCTAGGTAAGGCAAGATTAATAATTGACTTTCCAAAGTGGAGGAAGAGGAATGAGAAAGAAAACCAAACATCTTGTTTAAATGGCTGTGGGCCTCCAGGATCCATGGCTGTTACTCACATACAGGATGCATCATCTACAAACTGCAACAGGCTCCCAGAAATGTGTCCTTTGAGGAATGTGTACTGAGACAACTTGCTGGGGGGTCCAGGAGATGGGTTAGCCATTAAAAATATTAAATAGTGGGATTTAAAAAAAAAATTTTAGACTTTAAAAACTCACTGTAGTTTGCAACAGGTATACCTGCTGGGAGGGGAGACTTTGGCTATGGAACACGCACTATCCTGGACCTCATCTGAGCTTTGTCAGTAAAGTAGCTGGGTCTGAAGCAGAGCGTTAGGAAGGTCTAGGGAGAGACAAATGTGTCACTTTCATCAGTGACTTATGAAAAGGGTATTGGATGAGGCTTTCCTGCACTAGCATTTGTTTTGTTGTTCATTTAAACTCTCTGGATTAAAAAACTCTCCTGACTTTATGCAGAGAAGATGATAATAGATTTCACAGGAATTGCTTCAGACTAAGAAGGGGCAGCAAGAAGTGCACCGTAGTTAGATGGGATAGGACACTCCAGAAGCCTTGACCCACTTCCCAGGAGCTGCTGATCAAATATGTGGGACAGAGGTGGACGTCTTTGCTCACTAGAGAGTGATCCCTGCTCTTTGTGGTCTCAGGTACTGTGTCAGCGTCACAGGAGAACTTTCTATGGTGACGAACATGTTTTCTAGCTGTGCTGCCCAAAATGGTAGCCAACAATCACCTATGTCTATAGAGCTTGGAATGTGTGACCAGCAGGCTAAAGAAGTGAGTGTATAATTTTAATTTCATTGTATGGTGCAGGGCAGGCCAGAGTAAGTGCCCTTTATGTTGTTCTTAGTGCCCCCTCAGAGCATTAATCACACTGGCCATTGGTTGATAGACCAAAAGTGACTGGGGATTGGAGGGATAATGTCTTCGGTGGGTAACAGCTGTTAAATAAGCACATGCAGGCCAGCTCCCCAGAACCACCAGAACCACCTCCGTGTGGAGTTAATAGTAAGATTCCATTTAGGATGAGTGTAGGGCCAATGCCTCTACTCTCTGTGGATGCTGCAAGGGCCCAGGGATTTGCATAAAGGGGAGAAATACCAGTTGAAGGATAGTTTGTTACTGTCACAGTAAAGTGTAGGGCTCCTCTATACTCCAGGAAGCTATGCTGGGGAGACAGAGCAAGGCATTTGAAGGTAGTGGGGGAAGGTAGATCAAATGACTGGATCAATGCTAAAGCTAAGAAGGAAGAAGGGTTCCAGTTAACTCAAGTTACAAGGCTACATGTGATTAGAAACGGGATCAAAACTTTAAGCAGAGCTAGGATCTGCAGTGGTCAGCAGGAAATGCTATGCCAGGGAGGAAATGCCAGCAAAAGTCTTGCAGGAATAAATGGACAGTCTGTGGGGAAAGCAGTGCAGGGTGAGTCCCAGGTGCCATATTGGAATCCTGACTGCAAACAAAGATGTATAAAACCATCACTGAATCACCAGAGCCATGAATGGTGTGATTAGCCACTGTCTTGCAACCTCCTTCTAAAAAATGGAGTCTGAAAAAAGGAAACCATGTGGTTGTGGTTAGAAATTAAAATTTTCCAGGTAAAATTGATTTCTGGTTTAAGGACTGTGAAGCCAGAGGGGCAGTGTCTCAGGTGAATTCTAGAAGCTTGTAGAAGGTGATGGTGCTACTCTCTCTCCGCAAGGGCCATTCCAGAGTGTGAGGGTATGAGTGATAGACCAGATATAGTGACACTGACATCAAGCCTAATTTTCTTACCCTAGTTGATCACCTATCATCTGCATTAAAGTTTATATGAAATTTATTCAGCTAAAGTTGTATGTGCTGTGGTTATGCATGTGGAAAAAATGAAGTATTGGTGAAACTGACATGATGAAACAAGAAATATGTGAGCATGTTTTAACTTTCCCCATGGGGGAGGTGGTAAGGAGAGACAGACAGACACAGGGAGAGGTGGGGTTGGAACTGGCTGTCATCTCCTCTTTGCTTGTGGAATTTTCACCCTTCAAAGCTCTGGTATGAATCAGTGCCACATCTGCCATTGCAGGTCTATCTTGGCATGAGTGCCAGAGAGGAGTTTATTTAGATATAGCATCTTGCTAAATAAGTCTCTTGAAAAAACTGATTTAGTCTTTTATAATTATGTAATTAATTAATACAGTAGAAAAATTGGAAATTACAGAAAGAATAGAAAAAAGAAAAACAATCCTTATAATTCTTCACCCAAAGACAGCTACTATTAAATTTGGATAGATTCCCTACTAGTATTTTTTTTTATGTAGTTACAACTCTATAAACAGTAGAAATTGTAGCCTGCATTATTTATTTACCATGACATACCATAAGTAAGCTCCATTTTTAGAAGATAGCTAAAAATAATGCCCTACATTTTTCTACAAAGAACATGGAGTACTTTTATAAGAAGAGAAAATGTTATAGATCCTCTCACAAATATCTATTATCCAAAATAGAACTCCTAATAATACAAAGTGTGGTGGAAATATAGTGAATATTTGTTTTTTAAAAAAATACTACAGTAAAGGATACATACTCCCCCTCACTTCAAACACGCTTATCTCATCACTTTTGTTACTTTCCTTCTTTTTAAAAAAATTAATTTTATTGGTACAGTTAAGGTATACAATATAATGACATAATCAATCTTGGTTCTTATTTTTCCCCCATCCCCCTGCCCTTCCTTTAACCCCTCCACCCCTCTACCCCTCCCTATCTACAAAGACTTTGTTTCCATTATTTTTCATTCTCTCATATTAATTCCATTCCCTTCTTTCCTTTCCCCTACCTCTCCCGTTTCTCCTTCCCCTTTGTCCCTTCTCTATTTCACATTATCTATTATACCTTTTAGTCCTTATTTACACTTTCAGTCTCTCACACTAGAGAAACTATTCAGTATTTACACATGTGTGTCCTATTTATTTCACTTAACGATTCGATATTTACACACGTGTGTCCTATTTATTTCACTTAAGAGTGTCACCTCAATGTGCATCTATTTAGCTATAAATGTCTCTCATTTCTCAGTTTTTAAGGCTGAGTAGTACTCCATTTTATTAAAAGAAAAACACACACACATTTTCTTTATCCAGTCTCCCATTGATGGGTAGTTGTGCTGCTTTTGTTACCTTCTAAAGAGTTCTGGAAGTCTTCTTTTTTTTGACTTTCTTTATGAGGTGTGTGTAGCTGCTGAGTGCCATCCAGTGGAAAGGCAGGCTCATAAAAATATCATAATGTGTCCTCACCTACCTTATTCACATGGCACCATGTGACTTCTGGCTCATCCTTTAAATCAGAATGACCATGGAAGGTAAATGCTTTCAATCCATTAAGACATCAAGGCAGGCATGATTGTGCAGCTAAAGACACTCATGAAAGAGGACTTCCAGAATTGCTTCAGAAAGTGCAAGAACGATGAGGTAAATGTGTTTGAAGAGAGGGATATTCAGTAGTATGAGGAAGATTCATGCCAATATGTCTTTTGCTGTAATAAACTTAGACATTTTTAAAGTATTCACTGTATTTGTTGTTGTTCTTGTTACCCGGGATTGAACTTGGGACTTTATACTTGAGAGGCAGGGGGCAGAACCACTGAGCT